CGCAATGAGTTCTTACAAGTTGAAAAAATGATGACTGTAGAAATATGGGCAAAATGTGAACAGAACAACAAACATGAAAGCATTCAAATTCAGAAGGGACATCAGATTAAAGTAACTGACAACAATGAAAGGAATGGCTAGCAGGGACATGAGGGGAAAGTTTTTGGCATATATGGCATATATGTCATATATTACATGTAAATTAATTTTTTAAAGCTCCATTGGGCAACAATCTGTGCATAGATTTTCTGTAATTCATAATTCCCGTGAACTTTTTGAAGACCCTGTGTGTGTGTGTGTGTGTGTGTATTTTTTTTTTCTTTTCTTTTTTTTTTTTTTTTGCCAGAGAGCATGTGTGTTCCCTGGAGAGAGAGGGAGAGGGAGGGAGAAAGCGCCCACCAATGAAATGGGGTCACTCCCCAAGCCCGTCTCCATTTCTTCATCCTGTTGGGAATTTGTGCATATATGCATATGTCCTGGTGTGTCTTTCAAACTGCCTGGTCTGGAATTTGAACTACACATTTGGCCACATGGGATCTATCATTAGCTCCCTTAAACACCAGGCCTCAGGCCAGCCCCCTTGTATAGTTTAAAACATATATTGCCTTTTATCCTACTCAGTCCCATAGAAAATATAAGCAGTAAAACTTAAGAATATATATTAGAAATAACCGTGAAAGCTTTTTAAAAATTTTGCTATAAGGCATGTGTGCTCATTGGAGAGAGAGAGAAAAAGGCACCCTCCTCAGAGAGGATGGTCATGGCACAATCCCTTCTTCTTTATTCTCATCTTGGCATTTTAGTGGTTAAGGCAATTGGATTGCATATGGCTAACTGTGCTTTTGAGTCCCAGACCTGGTGACTTGAAAAAAACGCCTAACTGACATATTCATTGTCAGCTTTTGCCCACCACGGAGAACACAGTTTCAAACTGAAAGCTTTATCCCCATTTAATTGCCAGCCCTTAAAACCCAGCCATCAGTGGTGGACCCCATTCCATGTAGTCATTTTCCTCAAGGTCTAATTCAAATTTCACAGAAAAAGAGTTCTTTGCATTCAAAACCTGGTTAAGTGTCTGTTATACAGTAGGTGCACATGGTGTTCAGGTAGCAAGAACTAACAAATATGGCTTATGCGACTCTAGTAAGATGGCCTCTGTGTGCCTTATCAACATCCTCTTAATTTTGTCTTCTTGTCCCTCCACATCCCATCTCAGAGTCTCTTCAGAACCTTAAACCTGGAGCCTGCCAAGGGCAGGGTGGTGTGGTGAACAGACAGAGACTTTGGAGTCCAAGTTTCCATTTACCGCTCATCAGTTTTACCAATATAAGCCTCGTTATTTAATCTTCCTGGGCCTATTTCTTCTACAAAACAGGATTGTCTTTACCTTGAAGTACTGTTGTCAAGATATAATAAGGTATACCACTCTCCCAGAAAAATACATTAGTAACTTCCAGTTATTTTGCTTCCTGTTTGTTACTCTTTTTATCGGGAATTGAGGAAAGTAAGTAGTTGACACAGTACAGATATGGATTATTTTGAAAATGGCTTCTGCCAGGCTAAATATTTACATCAGAGGGCCCTTCTGAGGAGGGACAAGCTCTAGGCCTCGCACGCGGGGATGCTGCCCTGAGGCTGGGACTGGAAAGTCTTATAGTGCTGACTGTGGCTCCACTCACAAGGCCTTACAAGGTCACTGTCTGCTGAGACAAAGCAAGTGCTGCCAAGCAAAGATGGCCAAGCCAGAGCCTTCTGAGATCTTTCAGGGCCAGTCCTTTGGCAGCCCTGTTACTAGACCTGTTTTTCAACTTGAAGGGAGATTGTACAGGCTGAGTGTTTGTATTTCCTGACCAAAGCGGCCATTGACGTCAAGAGTTACCTCTGTTGTTAAGTGACACCTTTGTGTTGTTCTGTTATTTAGCTTTGCATATTACAGGGAATCAGGGAATATTTTTTTTTAACAATTTCAAACTAAACTTTATCACTACCTCAAATTTGTATAGCATTTTAATGTTTGCAAAAACATTTCACTTGTATTTTTATTTTACTTTGCGAGTAGTTAGCTGTTTCTGGCACATCCCTGTTTTGTGAGAAAGCTGGGGCTCCACGGGCTCCATTCTACACAGGACTTGCCCAGCATTAGCCTGGGAACAGGAGCCACAAGGCAAACCCTAGGCCTCTTGGTTTTGCCTGGTGCTCTTCCCACTGTGCCCTGAAGCCTGGGGTTGCTGGAGCTAGGGAGCAGGTCTCTAACCCCATCATACCAGTTTTCTCTGTATTACCTTGGGGTTCAGATATTTCCCTAAGAATACTGGTTGGACTGCAGTAGAGTTTTATAATGCCTGTTATAATGAGAGCCAGAGGTTCTCTGCCTGTACAGTTGTTTATCTTTCACGTTGGATGTGCCTAAAGACATAGAGTAAACATTGTAGGGAGATGAAGGAAGGAGTGAGGTAGTTGACTTGGCGTCCATGAGGCCAGCTGCATGTTTCAAGTCCTAGCACCATGGGCTTGAAAGATATACTGGTTGCATGTCCAAAGTCCCAACAGGACAGCAAAATGGAGGAGAAGGGATTGTGGCATGACCATACCCTATTGGAGTGCTTTCTCTCTCTCTCTCTTTCTCTCTCATGGATGCACCCTCTGGCAAATTAAAAAAAAAAAAATTGTGGTGGTGCTCAGTAACTGAACTGCTCATTGCAAAACCCACAACACTCCACTTGCGGCTGTTGATCCGGTGGATAAAGCAGCCTACTCAGAAGCATTTTCTTTCTTTCTTTTTTTTTTTTTTTTTGCCTTCAAACTATTTATTACTGCCTCTCTCCCTTCTCTCCTTAATTTCAGAAGGGACCAGTTCTCTTTCTAATACTGGAAGAGCCTATCATTAATTACAGTGGAATTAGAGGTGTCCCAGGGTTTTTCCCAAATACCTCCACAGGCCTGAAATCTTCTAGATGGAGCATGATTTTAATGTCACTACTTGTAATCGTAGAAAGTCTAGAGAGTAATTTAACATAAGTGAGTCCATTTAGATCAGCACATTGCTCGAGAACAAGCCAAGTGCATGGTACAGTGCTGTACATGTGTTGTCATTGACAATTATTGATAAAAGTATGAGAAAACCTCGAACAATAACTTGCTAGCTTTGTGACCCTAGCAAAGTTACTGCAGTTGTCTGTGCCTTAGTTTATTTATAGAGAAAATAATAATGTTCATCTCATAGGTATCTTGTGAAAAGAAAATATGAAGGGCTTAGAGAAATCCCTTGTGTAAAATAAGTGCTTTGGGGGTCAGCAGGTAGCGTGGTGTTTAGGATGCTGGATTCCCACGTGGCTGACCATGGTTTAAATCTGATACTCAGTGGCTTGAAAATCATGCCAGGCACATGTGCATGTATGTCTAAAAATCCCAAGAGGAGAATGGAGATGGGATTGCAGCGTGGCCACCCCCACAGGGGGTAATTCAAGAGTCTCTCTCTCTCTCTGTCTCTCTCTCTCTCCCTCCCTCCTTCCTTCTCTCTCCCTCCCTCCCTCTCCCTCTCCCTCTCCCCACCATGGCAAAACCTAAAAAAAATAAATAAATAAGTACTTTGTAAATGTTAACTACCCTTACATAATTGAATCAATGTTATGTGCTAAACTGCTATTGAATTATATAAGTGTTAGCTGTTGCCATCATCAGTTATTGATATCTTTAGTGCATTATTTAAAACTGTAAATTAGGTATTCATTTCTGGTTTTTGGTTTTTTTTAGTAGCTTTTTATTTGTATGTTAATGGATGATTGCAAAGATTCTAAGGGTAAAGCCAGAATCCAAGAAATTTAATCTGTTTTCTGTATGAGGAGTTCCTTTAGTTAAAGTAATTTTTTGTAAAATTGTTTTTTAAAGTTTCTTAAAATAATTATGTAAGTAATTATTTAAAGTAAGTCCTAAATATATGTTCTGTGCTCCCTCAGAGAGAAGTGGAGTTTAGAAGAGATGAGACTGACTTGAAAAGGGCCAGGTTATAGTATTTGTGGATGTTTGGAAAAGAAGGAAAAGAGATTTTTAATAATGTAAATTATTTTCTGATCCTTGACATTGTAACTTTATCAATCTTTATAACAATTGTGCTAATGGTATTTTTAGAATTCTATCTTGGTCACTCTTAAGAAACTAAGAACTAGGACCAGCAGATTGCATAATGGTTATGTCCCTGGACTCCCATGTAGTCAACCACAATTCAAGTCCTGCACCCGGCAGCTTGAAATTCACACTAGGCACCTGTGCATGTGTGCCCAAGATCCTGAAAGGAAAATGGAGGAGAAAGGATTGAGGTGTGGCCACCCTCCTTGGGGGGTGATTTTTCACTTTCTGTCTCTCTGTTTGTCTGGCAACGCACGTGCTACATAGCAAAAATCTATTAAAAAAAAAAAAGGTACTAGGAAACAAGCCATCGATCTGGTTTTAATGTTGAATGCAGACCGTAGTATAGATGTGATCAGTGTAAAATGTTATCATCTCTGTATTTAGTATTTGAAAATATGCATAAATATTTTTCTGTGAATAAGAATTTTTTTAGGGGGTGAAGAGTTTTTGTTTTTTGTTATAGGACACCTGTGCTTACCAGAAAGGCAGAGACAGAGAGACAGAAAGCAAGAAATCACCCCCTGGGGGGGGGGGGGGCACCGCACATTCTCGGGGGGGGTGGCCACGCCATATTCTCTTCTCCTCCGTTCTCCTCTCAAGATCTTAGGCATATGTGCACACACGTGCCTGGTGTGAGTTTAAGCCACCAGGTCCAGGAGTTGAACCGTGGTTGACCACATGGGAGTCCAGTGACATAGCCATTACGCCAACTGCTGGTCCCCTGTGAGTAAGAATTTTAAGACATTAATTATTAAGCAGAGATTCAGTATTGAAATGATTCCTAGAAAAGCCTTTTCCATAGCAATTTCTTGTAACATTGTCCTAGTTACTGATTTTCCTCGTTATATTCATTTCACTTTTTCTGTTTTCAGTGATTTAGCCCTACGGAATTGTTTCCTGACCTCTGACTTAAATGTGAAAGTGGGAGATTATGGAATAGGATTCAGCAGGTACAAGGTAAGCCAGGAATTTAAATATTGTCTCTCTAATCTAACTTAATTTTATTCACAAAGCTGCAATATCACAAAATACCACTGGGTTAGAACCTTGCTTGTAATGCCTTTCTGGAGAGGGATTTGCCTAATCATTTAAATGGCAGTATTGGCTTCTGTCTGGTGTATTGTTTTCTGTTTGTTTGCTTAGTTTTTGCTATAGGGTACACAGAGAGACAAAGAGAGGGAAAGTGAGAAATCACTCCCCAAGGAGATGACCACACAGCAATCTCGTCCATCTTGGAATTTGGGGCATGTATGCACATGCGCCCAGTGTGTTCCTCAAGCCTTCATGTCCGAGACTCAAACTGCCCATGTGAGATCCAGCTACCTTAAGCACACCTCACTGGCTGACCTCGTGGTGTTAGGTTTCTTTAAATCAGTGGCTCTGTGCCAAAGGTTTTGTGCAGCTTTCCAAATGCTTTGTTTAAAAAGATTTCTACATAGTGTAATTGATATAGTCTGATGGCACATGATAAATTTCAGAATGAACAGTTGAGCAATAATAATTATTTCCTGTATAATAAAATGTGCATATCATGTAAATACTTCTCTGTTACATGGTTGGTAAAAATTTTACCTCAAATGCAGTAAGCTTGGGATTAAGGATTTGTAACTGTCATAAATGTATCCCCAAAGAAAATAAATGAAGAAGTACTAATGTCTTTGTCTTGACCAATATGCATGGTATTCCTTCTGGAAAAAGAAATGTAATACATTGCAAAGATATATATGATTCAATGTAATGTAAACAAGATTATGATGATAATTTAAAAAAATAAGTGTAGAAGTAGTGAGATTTTCACCTGTGGGTAGGTTTGTGTAGCCTAGTTTAACGAGATTGGAGTATCCTTACGTTGCTACTCATGGTAGTCAAGTGACTTATCCAAGGCCCCCAGCAGCAGGGAGCTGTGTGAGAGCACAGTTTATTCTGTGCCCCAGATGATAAAAGATAAGGACCTAGTCTGTTCTGTCTTACGGAGTTCTTGTGAAGACCAAAGGGATAACATTTTTACCAAATATCATGCAAAACATGACTTCATTGTCTATATGGTAACCTTCGTATGTTGAGCACTTGCTGTCTTCTTGAAATACTAGGAAGTACTTGTCTGCATTATCTCGTTTATTCTTCATCACAAAGATAGGGAGATTTGTATGATACTCATTTTACAGATCAGGAAGAAGTCTTTGTGTGTGCATTTGTTGCTTTCCCAGAGTCACATAGCTGGAAAGTGGTAGAATGAGGACTTATAGTCCATCCTGTCAGGTACTAAAGCTTGTGCTCTTATTCATTAACCAGCATGACTCCCCTGGGCATTGCAGAAGGCCCAGTATTATCTTAAAAGATGTTTTGCCCAGAGTCTGTGCTGTGTGCATCAGACATGGTGTACCTTCCTTTTCCAGGAAGGGTGACTTAGCCAGTGTTCATGGCTCAGTCATGAAGCCCAGGAGGTTTCAGAGAAACTCCTCACCCATCTCCTGCCCAGAAAGTCTCTCTTCATGCCCACTTTTTTTCTGTTAAATTTGGGGTTGGGCTTGTGTGAATTAAATCATTGCGCTCACTAAAATTATATTTCTATTCAAAATTGTGCTTTCTAACAAAACAGGAGGATTATATTGAAACAGATGATAAAAAAATGTTCCCTCTACGGTGGACTGCTCCAGAATTAATAACCAGCTTTCAAGACAGACTACTAACTGCAGATCAAACTAAGTATAGTAATATCTGGTATGTATTGGTTTACCATCATATTAGGTTTCTGTGTTGCTAAGTCCTAACTTCTGTTTCTTTAATTAGTTTCTTCAGGAAAAGTCATTGTGTAAGATGTGGGAACAGAAGAGTGCCTGATGGTGTGAAAAAGATAGCAGTGATCACACTTGCAGTAATATGATTAACTTTCTGAACACTGCCCCTCTTATCCTCTGTAAAAGGAAGGACCAAGTCTGTTTTATATTTTGTGCCTACTGTGCTTGGCATATAATAGCTGTGTACTAAATATTTATCAACGTGAATGAAAAAACTAAAAGGATTTTGGACTATTGTATAATTCTGTGATTTATAGGAATCAATTTGATGGAAGTGAAGAAAATGTATCTAAATCCGTGGCTAACGATCTCCATTACAGCTTTCTCAATTTATACCTATTTTGTGTATGTGTGTTGTTGTCCTGCATTTTCTGAGTTTTTTTTTTTTTTCTCCTTTTGGATTTTTTTAAGAGAGAGATTTTTTGCTAGAGGGTGCATGCACTCGCCAAAGAGACAAAGAAAGAAAAAAAGTAAGAGACCCCCCCCCCCCAGGAATGAGGGCCACACCGCAAACCCCTTCTCCATTCTCCTCTCGGGATCTTGGGCCCACATGCACACACGCCAGGCATGAGTTTCAAGTCACTGGGTCCAGAACTCGAACCATGGTCAACTATGTGGGAGTCCAGCAACGTAACCATTATGCCATCTATTTTACTATAGGGCGTGGTCCTTGGATATATATTTTTTTTAACTCTGTTTTTTGCCTCTAAGTTTGGGAGCTATAAACTTTTTTCCATGCTTTTATTGATTACTCTATAAATTACAGTGTGCATATATCTCAGTTACCACAATCCAATGTTAGACCATATCTTAACCCTCTTTTTGAATAGTACAGGACTTTTGGATATTTTAACTCAGTTTAACTATACATCATGCACATACAATTAAGTTATGATTGTTGGGTTTGTTTTTTTTTTTTTCTTCTTTCTACACAAGTTAGAGTGTTTTAGTTTTTTAGCATCAGGGTTTGTTTAGATTTATCCACATAATCAAACTACTTTGTCTTCGTTCACTATTTTTTTTTTTCAGAGAGAGAGATTTTTGCTATAGGCCCTGTGCATTCACCTCCCAAGGGGGATGGCTATACTGCAATTCCTTCTTCTCCATTTTCCTCTCAAGATCTTGGGCACACATGTACCTGGCGTGAGTTTTAAGCCACCGGGTCCAGGACTTGAATTGCAGTCGACTACGTGGGACTCCAGCGATGTAACCATTATGCCATCTGCTGGTCTCCTTCATTCACTATTAATTTAATTAATTAATTAATTTGTTTGTTTGTTTCGGTTTTTGCTGTAGGGCGTGTGTGCTTGCCAGAAAGACAGAGAGAGACAGAAAGACAGAAAGCGAGAAATCACCCCCCAGGGAGATGGGCATGCCGCAATCCCTTCTTCTCCGTTCTCCTCTTGGGATCTTGGGCACGCACACAAACACACCCGGCATGCGTTTAAGCCACCAGGTCTGGGACTCGAACTGAGGTCGACTCCATGGGAGTCCAGCGATGTAGCCATTACGCTATCTGCTGGTCCCTTTAATTTATTATTTTTTTTAATCTCAGACCTTTCATCTGGGATCACTATCCTTAAGCAGGAAGTATGTCCTTCATATTTCCTAATTTAGTGAGAGTTTGCTGGAAACAGGCTCTATTCTTTTTTTTAGGTTTGAACATACCTTTTTTTTTTTTTTTTTTTTTGGAGAGGTTTTTGCTATAGGGCGCTTGTGCTCGCCAGACAGACAGAGAAAGACAGAGAGACAGAAAGTGAGAAATCACCCCTCAGGGGGAATGGTCACACCACAATCCCTTCTCCTCCATTCTCCTCTTGGGATCTTGGGCACACACGCACACATGCCCGGCGTGAGTTTAAGTACTGGGTCCGGGACGCGAACCGTGGTCGACTACGTGGGAGTCCAGCAACATAGCCATTACGCTAACTGCTGGTTCCCAAGATACCTTCATTTTGTCCTCATCCTTGAAATATAATTTTACTTGATGACGGTTATTTTCTCTGAGCATATTGACTATATTTACTGTCTTTTGACTCCCACTGTTGCCTTTCAGAAGTCAGCTGTACATCTCCCTAAGTTCTTTGAAGGTAGTGTGACTTTGGGCTGTTTTTAAATTTTTTTCTTCTGTTTTTTATAGTTTCACACTGATTTGTATGGGTGTGGAATTAATGATGTTTTGTTTAGGATTTATTTGACTTTCAAAATTTGTAGATTGGTTCTAGAAAGTTCTTATCCCTTATCCTTTAAACATTGCTTCTATTCCATTTTCTATCCTTTTGGAAGTCTACTAGACATGTGTATGGTTCTTGCTCTATATCCATCTCTCTTTTTTTTATAGAATCATTTA